GCTATACACATGAAGCCGATACATTATAAACCAGCTGTACTTCTGTTTTTAAAAGGGGGAGGGGGGGAAGAAAATGGTGATTCTCATCCAAATAAAAAAAGGAGTGAACAGTTAAACTTGGAAGAGCTTAGCTCTGTGCCACAAATGACTTATGTGTAGTAACGTGAGCCCTAAGTCTCTGTAGCGGTGGGTTTCCTTTTCCTTTAGGAGCCAAGCCAATCGACAGGAGTCCCGCAGTCAACATACAGGGAAAAGCCTACTACCTCCCCAACCTTAGGGGAGGTATTTTCTCTGTATTTTCCTGGGAGTAAGCTCTTCCATTGTAGCGCTTTTCTGTGAAGCACCCTCAGCCGGCCGGTCAGCTCGGGGCCTGGACAGTGCTCTCAGCCACTAGCGCTCCCACCACCCCCACACCCCTCTCTCCCACTCATCTCACCCCTCCTGGTCCTCTCTTCAAAGCAGGACATGGTTTTAAAAAGGGGAGCCGCGAGGGCCTCATTGTGAGAAGTTGTATCTAAACATGAGAAACTGCTTACAAATTTCATTTAGTCTCACTTATATCATGCATACTTTATATGTCTCATGTCTCCTAAATTAAATGGGATTTTCTCCAAGGTCAAGGGCTGTTGTATTTTTGTATTCTTCCATAGCAACCAGTGCAGCATTTTGCACAAGCAAGAGTTCAGTGAATCACATTAGTCTCAAAAGCATTTCATCCTTAAATATACCTTTAAATACTCAACCAGCAGAGAATCTGGCAAGCTACATGCTTGCTAAGGAAAGGAAAATCCAGGGAAGCATATTAAGTATCAGACAGTCAACTACAGGCTAGACTTCCTGCTTGCTTCCCATTGGTAGCCTGCGACAAATTCTTATTAGAAAGGCTCCAAAACATGTCAAGATCTGGTCATCTGTGCTTGACTCCACGCTGGTGAGCCCAGGCCTACAGCTTGAACTATCAGTTTCTGCTGACCTGTGGTGTAATTTCTTGTCTTTTGTACTCAATTTCCCCTCAACTTCTTACCAGTGTCTCTGCATGCCTTCAAGTTCCATTCAGCCCCTGTTTCCTTAAGATAACTAGCTAAGTTAGTTCTGCAGAAAGATACTGGATCCTATGATGTCTCTGAAGGCCTAAGAAGACTTTTAAAATACATTAGAAATTCCTCATAAGTTTTCATGAAACCAATTCAGATGGCTGGGAAGGGTTTACCACCGTTCCAATTTGGGATTTACATGACTTTTAGAAGACATTTCCATTTCTTGCAGGATTACTGTTTTCTTCAAATGATTTCCTGGGCCAAGAACAACACAATCAGGTCTGGAAGGGTAACCCAGGAGGCACATTATTTGGTGGGGGAATTCCTGAACGAAGAATATCAAGACCAATGTGTTTCCTACCAGTTTTGCAACTGGTTTGCTGATTCACCTGGACACGTTACTATTCGTTTGAGCCCAGGATCCTTGGTTGTATAACAGCACTCAGGATTGCCACAAAGACCAAATAACATGAATGAATGAGAGACCACTTCACAGCGTGCTCACTGCTGCAGCATTACAGCATAGTATTATCACAGTCAGAGTAATTCTCTGAGTTCTTCCACGCTGTATGGTACTTATCTGCATCCTTTTCAGCCTCCCATTTCTACAGCAAAACTTCAGAAGTAAGATTCTTCCAGGCACACCTTCCCCTTTGGAGCTGTGCTTTTGACAAGCCCTCCTTCCTTCGCTTCGTTTTTCCTACTTTTCCTTCAAGGACCTGCTTGGAAGGCCCTCTGCTCTGAGTGAAGTCCTTTAGTGGTATCCTCAGGGACTATGTCCCTTTGGCTGAACTCCTCTGGCATGGCTGCCTGTGGTCCCAGTCAGCTGATTCTAAGCATCTCCTGTCTTACTGGTGATGCATGTTCTGAGTACAAGATGTGTAGTTACTACCTCTGTAATTACAGTATCTCTTTGAGGGCACGGTCTGTGATTGATGCATGTCTCTTTGTATTCTTAGCTCAAACAACATGTTTTCGTCAACAGTGACTTTGGGGCATTGTACTGGGTTGACGAGTGTCCCCTCAAAGTTCATGTCTTTGCAGTTGGAATCAAGTTATGAATAGGTCATATTGGCTTCGTTGTTGTTGCTTTCTCTGTCATGTCTGTCTCTTTTTTCTGCCGCTGGGTTGGTTGCCGCCAGGCTCTGTCCATGAGATTTCCTCGGCAAGAATACTGGAGTGGGTTACCGTTTCCTCCTCCAGGGGATCTTTCTTGACCCAGGGATCGAACCGCTAGTCTCCTGCATTGGCAGGCAGATTCTTTACCACTGAGGCACCAGGGAAGCCCTTACCGGACTTAAGATCCTTCAAAGAGAGCACAGTCTGGCCAATGCCTTGATTTCACACTTCTAAACTCTAAATTGTGAGAGAATAAATTTATGCTGTCTGCAGTCATCCATTTAGTAGCGACTTGTTTTGGCAGTCCTGGGAAACTAATACCCGAGGAGTGCTAAGCACACTGTGGAGTGTAGTGGAGGCCTTAGGGGGCCGCCACCCAGCCTAGGGGCTTCCTGGTGACTCGGGAGTAAGGAATCCACCTGCCAACACAGAAGACACAGGTTTGATTCCTGAGTTGGGAAGATCCCCTGGAGAAGGAAATGGCTAGTATTCTTGCCTGGGAAACCCCATGGACAGAGGAGCCTGGTGGGCTGCAGTCCATGGGGTCACAAGAATTGGACGTGACTGAGTATACACACACACACATGCAGCTGAGAGGCATCCTTTCTGAAGACCTGGGATGCCGATCAGAGCAAGGCTTTAAGGGAAGAGGGTAGATGAAGGGGACAGGGAATGAATTTAGTCTGGGTAGAAAAGAAAACATTTACAAGCATTACGGTAAGGGTACTTTTTAACATGTATTTATTTAATTCTGTTCTGGCTGTGCTGGGTCTTAGTGGCAGCATTTGGGATCTTCAGCTCTCGGGCTCAGTTGTCCCACCATGTGGGGCCTTTAGTTCCTGAGCCAGGGATCTAATGGGTGCCCTCTGCACTGGAAGGCAGATTCTTAACTACTGGACCACCAGGGAAATCCATACAGGTATTTTTTAAGGTCTTATCATAGAAACAGTTTACTTTATGACAACAGGTGGATCCTGGAGTTGGAAACAGGGGTGCAAGCAAGTGAATGGACAACTACTTTATGATATGATATATCCAAATTTTTTAACTGACCAATTTGGGAGAAACTACATGTGCATGGATTTCACAGCAGCCCTTGCTTAGATAACCGGGGGTCTATGGTGGGAGCCAGGCTGATGGTGGCTGGTGGACTACTGAGCCCTGAAGTCACAGTTTCCTCCGCTATTACAGCATGGACACTGGGACCCACCATGCTGGTCTGAGTTCCCGTTCTGCCATTCACTGGCAAGTTATTTGCCTCCCTCTCCTCTGGCGACCCACTCCAGTCCTCTTGCCTGGAGAATCCCACGGACGGAGGAGCCTGGTGGGCTGCCGTCTATGGGGTCGCACAGAGTCGGACACGGCTGACTCGAGTGAGCAACAGCAGCAGCCTCTGGAAAATCAGAATAGAAAAAATAGCATCTCCCTCATCAAAGTGTGAGGGTTGAAAGATTAATCTGCACAAAGTGCTTGGAACAGTGCTCACAGCAGGTAACAGAAGGCTTAGTTGTTCTTATCGTCATCATAAGGGAGACCAGAAGGGTGAATAATGTGACCTTTAATGATTCTTCCAGAAATAGGGGGGTCCCACTGGAGAGATGAATGCAAAGTTGGCCATTTGCTTGAAAATAAGTCTGCAATGTATTAAAGTATTTATTAAAATACTTGCTTTTCCAAACACAGGGGATTTTTTCTTTTTATTTAGGCAGGGTGGTCTCAGAGTCTCTACTACTGTGGGCTGATTCCAGAGCCTAGGAGTAAAGGATATGGGGTCCCAAGCAGCTCCGTCTTTTAGGATTCCTGTGTTGCAAGGCCTAACTGGTTTTACCTGGTCCGATCTGGCTCAGCACCAACACATCTGGCATACAGCAGGCGCTCAGTCAACAGGGGTTAAGTGAGGACGGCAGGAAGAAACCGGCTGGGACTGACTTCCCAGGTGCATCCCTGGCCTGGAAGGCGGGCCCCCAGGAGCCTCGCTGGCCGCCAAGGACTCGGAGCGCCGCGAGAGACGTCTGGAAGGTCGGGAATTAGAAGGTCTGGAAGGTAGGGCATCCAATTCTCAGAGAGTCTATTCACAGGAACCCGCCACCAAGGCTGAGGCGTTGATATTGCCCAGTAGGTTAAGTAGGCGTGTTTCCGGCAATTGGGTGAACAGAAATGGGACCGGATACCGCGCCGGCACGGTCCGCCACCCTCACCCCCGCTTGAGGGTAAAGAGGAAGCCTTAGAGTGTCTATTTGAACTGCAGGTACAGATGGAAAAACAACTTTGTAGTCTATTTATGGGGCATAAACCTCCACCTTCCCACGTCGCTCCTAGATGATATTTCTCCAGGCTGCCTGGGACACTGACCTGTGGGTCTTAACCAGTGAGAGCGAGGCGATTCCTGCGGGAGCGGACCCTCGCAAAGGATAAAGCAAGGAGTCGCAGATGTGTTTGCTCTGTCACCGCCCTCTGATCATCTCTGGGCAAGTCACTTAGCTCTCCAGACCTCCGCTTTCTTGCTGTTGAACGCGGGGAGGCAACCGAAGCGGGCTGACGCTCCGAGCGGCGGCGGAGAGCGCAGCGCACCGCGCACCTGGGAAGTCCCGGGCGCGGCGCTGGGGCCCCGGAGCGCGGGGCCGGAGCTCCCTCTGCGGGAGCGCGGCGGCGGCGCTCCTCCTTTCCCTCCACGTCACGGGGGCCTCTCAGCGCGCTCCCAGCCCCCGGCCGGCGGAGAGCGACTCCCCAGCCGGGCGCGCCGCGGAGGTGGCGGCGGAGGACGAAGAGGAGGCGAGAGCCCGAAGCCAGCCGCCGCCGAGGGGCCCGGAGTCCGCAGGACAGGTCGCAGCCGGGCCCGAGCGACTCGTCCATCCGCGGGGACTCCGCGCCCGGGGCTCCCCCGCTCCCTTTTCGTAAGTCCACTCGGCCACGCAGGCCGGCGAGGAGCGCTCGGGGCCAGCGTGCGGGGCTCCCGGCCCAGCCGCGGATGCCCGGGACCCCTTGCTCACGACTTTCACTTCCCCGCCGGGGAGAACTTGGGCGCCGCGTCCCTCGCTCGGCGGGGGAGGGAGAGGTAGGTAGGAAGGGGTCGGCCTGGGGCAGCCGCGGCGCAAGCCTAGCTGAGCCCCGGTCGGGCTGCGCGCCCTCGTTGACTCGGGGGCCCCTGCCGGCGGCCGGACGCTGGAAAGTTCTCCGAGGCCGGCCGGCTGCGGGGCGGCCAGCGCGCGTCTGCCTGAGGCTGTCCTGCAGAGACGCGGCCGTGGCGCCCGCTTCCCGGGCTCCCGGGGCCGGGCAGGGCTGGGCTGGGGGGCCGGGAGCAGCCAGGCTCACCCGCACCAGGGTGTCGTGCCGGGCTCTCCCGGAGCGGTGAGGACGCGGCTCCCCGACGCGCCCCTTCCGGGGCTGGCGGTCCTGGGTCTCGGTCCTCCGGGCCACTGAGAGCCGCCCAGGTGAGGGGCGAGGGGCGGGTCCGCGAGGGACCTGCGGAGCCGGGGGTCGGACGCGCGCTGTGCCGCGCCATCGCCGGCCTCTCCGCAGCCCTGGACCCGCGGCGCCGATCCGAGCTGCCCGGGGGCGGCGGAGGCGAGGGGGCGGGCGCGGGAATGGGCTGCTGGCGTGGCTTCTGCTTTAGGACCAGGTGGGAGTGCGCGTCCCCAGGAGGTCGCGGATCAGAAGCTGCGGAGCGGTCCTCCCCGCCGCGCCTGCCGCCGGGACGAGCTTCTGCGCTTTTTACGGTCAAGTTTCCTTACCGCAGAGCTGGCCCGGATCGTCCCCTTGTGAGGTGGCGGCACCTCTTCCATCGAGCTGGGAGGCTCCGAGGATCCGAGAGTCAGTTTACCATCTTCACGTAGGAACAGTGCGAGCTGATGGATACTGAATGTGTATTTCAGGACCGAGCTGTCCTGCCTCGGCGAGGCTTTCCTCTGGTTGTAGTGGGAACCGTGTTTTCCTCTCGCTGGATAAGGGAGAGATGACCTTAGGCACTTGTCGTTCCCTCTTCTCGTCCTTTAAACTGAAAAGAGGCAAAGCAGATTAAGGGAGTTGGGAATGATATTCAGTGATATTAAATTAAATGTTCATGTGGTTTGGTCGATAGAAGTCACCTCTCCTGGTTTTACAGAAGCATGCCCTTATTAAACCACCTATCAGTCTAAGACAGTCTAGAACCTAGCTGTCAGTTTTGACAGCTTTTGTTGATGGCGTCTTGAGGAAGTAAAATCTTTAAAAGTCAGGAGGTTACTGCAGAGAGCGGTTCCTCTGGTGCGCTTTCTAAGAATCAATTCTCTGTGAGAAATGATCGATTAAGCTGCTATTGAATCGGATCATGCTTGTATTTGCAGAGAAACAGTATCCACAGAATCAGGTTGTGTGGCAGTGAGTGAAATGAGGATTTCCTTTGGGGGTGGGAAGTGGGGACAGCTGTAAATTTGTCTCCTTTGAGAGGCACATTTACTAGACGAACGTCACAAGGTCTGCACAGAGGGAGGTAAGAGTGAATGGCATATTTTGGGCAGTAAGTCAGGGTTGGTGCTTGGCATCACGCTAAGTACCCTCAGGATAGGTGGGCAGTCAGTAGTTATCAAACTGACTTTGAATGAGCTCGGTTGGGCAGGCGGGGGCAGATGGGGCTATAGTGATGTCCAGTTCCTGGTCCCCTGAGAATGACTGAGGGCAGAAGCCACAGAAGCCAACACTGTTCACCATCTACTGAAACAATGTTTTGAAGCCCAGTGACTGTGAAATTTGAAGTTTTACTTTGTAGATCTGGAAATGTAATGAAGAGGAGGAACATAGATGGAAACCATGAACAGAGTGGCACTGTAGCTCGTCGTGGCCCTGGGATGTGACTGCTGAGAGTCCCGGTTCTGACCCTTCCGCTCCCTAGCGTGTGACCTTGCACACGTTTCCTTACCTCTCTGCCCTGGTTTCCTGGTCTCTGAAGTGGCCCCACATCGGCGGGGGGTGTGTGTTGTGGCCCCTGCTTAGGGGCTGCGGGGAGGTTTGCCTGTGTGCATGAGGCAGGCATGTGTGCGTTGTGTGTGCACAACACTTGTGTGTACATCATCTTTGCACAGTGTGTGCCTGTGTGCCTTGTACCTGGTGCATAATGAATGCGCCGTGAGCCTTAGAGCCGGTGGTTTTATGATGATGAGCTCATTCCCATCACTTCCAGATGTAGAATCGGAGACTCAGAATTTTGAGATTCTGTCCAAGGCCAGAGAGCCCAACAGTGGTGGAAGTTAAGGCCAGGATCCCATTTGCCTGACTCACAGGCAGGGTCACCTCCCCCTTAGCAGGTCAACGAGTGTCACGTGCTGGATGCCGCGTGAAATTCATAAAAGGATCTGGTCACTGCTTGTCAGTATGCAAGAAGCAAAGCAGATAATATCGATGTCAAGGCTTACAGACTTTTCCCAAGCAATTTAGAGATATATGTTTTGTATTAATTTACATTGCTTTGCATGTCATTTTATATGCATTTCCACGTGCTGGTTATTTTCTAAGTGGGATCTACAGGCTGAGGCTTCATGTATATAAGATCAAATTAAGTTAACTAGGAGTTGAATCCAGCTGCTTCAAAACCTAATGGGCCCCCAGGCATGGCGTGCTCAGTGTAGATTTTAAGGGAAAGGGTTGGGTCAATATTTACTATATTAGAAGATGTGGGAAACCAGATACCATTTGGTAAAAGCAGGTCACATCTTAATATGTAGTGAAGCTTGATTTGCTGAACACAATAGAAAATTCAGGAAAAGTAGAAAGCCAGAGGGAAATTGCCTATTATATAAAAATGCCAGAAATGGAAGCAGAAGTCTGCTTTGTGAAGCTGAACTAATAAGAAACACTAAGGGTCAGAAAGCAAAGGTGGAACTTCTGCTAAACAATGAGGTTTGTAAAAGGAGCATATTCTTAAATACAAATGTATGGCGGTTCAAAACCAGTAAATTCTCCCTAATTTGGACTTAGCGGAAAACAGGCCATTGTGTCTTAGTAAAATCTTAGAAATATATATATTGTGAAAACAATGATGTAGTTCCTTAGAGCACTGGTTTTCAAAGTGTGATCCCTGGACAAACTGCACCAGGGAACTTGTTAGAAATGCAGATTCTGCAGCCATCAAACCGGCTGAATCAGAACCTCTGCAAATGGGGCCTAGTAAACCTATGATTTAATATTTGGAGCCAGCTTTCATGCCTCTTTGTTTTTTCCCTTCCTTAGTCTTGGCCTTCCGTTTCCCTCCTGTGGTCACTAACTCACTGTGCTGCTTGCTTTTCCATCAGACAGTGTCCTGGTAGAGGGTGGTACCCAGACACAGACCCATCCGTTCCTCTGTCCCACAGTCTACACTGATGGAAGATGCTAAGATCCCTTTAGGCTCTCACGTTCTACAGCTTGTGGTTTTCACGTTGTCCAGGATTATGCTGGTTTAGTTTCTGGGTTGGTTTTTCTGCCTTTTAAAAATCTTTTGACAGTCTTGTACCAAACAAACTGGGACTCCTGAATATACAGTCAGCCAAAACCCTGAACCATTCTCTCCAGATGCTCCTGTGAAATCCCATTTCTCCATCTGGTATGATGCAGTTAATTTCTTGGACCTGACTGTTAGACTTTGTATTTACCTCTGTTCAGTGTCATCTTGCTAGGTCCAAGTCTGCCCAGATTTGTTTGGGTCCTTCTGTCCTTTTTTCACGTAAACCTTTGAGCCCTCTGCTGATCTCTCTGCTGGTGTCCTGGCCTGAGGAAATAATAACAACTTGAGCATCTTGGTTAGAGGCCTTTGTCACAGTTAATGAGGCTTAAAAACTTGGCATCTTCACAGACCCTGGGGGGCCTAAAATCGGAAGAATGCTTGTCATCAGCCTCATTGGTGTTTGCATTTAAATTACTGCTGTTCTGGAAGTGCCCTTCACATGGTTTCTCCATGTGAGGCGTGTTTCCCAGCTCCTTCCTGAGTGCCCCCCATGGTTCAGTCTTCCTAGCACATTTGGCAGGAGCAGTTCGTTTCTGACAATTGCTTTTCCCTCCCTATTATATTTATACCATCAGCATCTTGCAGCGTCTTGGTTTTTTGCCTGGCTGACCCAAGTTAAGTTTCAGCTTATTAAATGGTCAGATTAAGGTGAATTCAGAAATTTCCAACTAATGGGAAGCCAAAAAAATGTGCCTTGTCATTTCTCTCTGCTTCAGGATTCCTACCCATCCAGGCTCTAGAATTCAGATATTTTGTGGTCAATTCTTTATTTTGCTGGGAGATTAGGGTTATTTAATGTTTTTTTTTTAATGTGAAATTTTGCTCATATATGATCCTTAAAGGAGTACAGTTAGATAATATAATCACACACACACACACAAAAGTTTTAAAAGTCAGAAAGCAGAACAATTTTATGGCGAGAATGCTTGTTGCTAGAGCATGAAAAAGTGCCTGGACTCCTGTACTCTCACACCATTCATGATCCGTGTCCAGGCCCGGGCTTCTCCGGTGGCTCGGCTGGTAAAGAATCCACCTGCAGTGCAGGAGACTCGGGTTCCATCCCTGGTTGGGGAAGATCCCCTGGAGAAGGAAATGGCTGCCCACTCCAGTGTTCTTGCCTGGGAAAGACCATGGACAGAGGAGCCTGGCGGGCTAGAGTCCAGGGGGGTCGAAAGAACTGGACACGACTAAGCAACTAGTACTTTATGCAGTCCTACTCAAGCTCTCTCCCTTCGTCCTCACACTGCTTTGGAAGACCAGCTTTAAACCAAACTGCGAAAAATCCCAATAAAATCCAAGCCTACTTTCCTCCTCTAGGATGCTACCAAACGTTCTCTGATGTGACATTCTAGCTTAACATGGCAAGAAAAAAAAAGTGCTGGGTGATCAGGGAACTATTTGTGATCTCTAGGAAATCTCGTGATGTCCTGTGCTTCCGCC